GGTGGTGGTGTGTGGTGGTTAAGGGAATAGCGGCGGTAGTGGAGAACAGATCCACCTAACATAATCCAAACTGTTAAGAACATAAGAACATAAGAATGGAGGAAACTGCAGCGGGCCTATTGGCCCATACTTGGCAGTCCTGTTTACACCCAACCCCTATTGCCTATATAACATCCAACCTATGTTTGAAGCTATTCAGCGTATTCGAGTTAATGATGATATTTGTAACTTGTTCCATTCATCCACTACTCTGTTTCCAAACCAGTGTTTACCGATTTCACGCCTAAATCTAAATTTATCTAATTTAAAACCATTGTTACGAGTTCGCTCCTGGTTGATAGTTTGAGTACCTTTGTATCCCTTTGTTTAGCCCTGCCTTCCACTTATACACCTCTATCAGGTCGCCCCCTCGCTTACGTCTTCAAGGAGTGCAAATTAAGATGCTTTAACCTGTCTTATACTCAAGGTTCCTAATGCCCGGGATTAGTCTTGTCATTCTCCTCTGAATTCTTTCCGGATTCTATATCCATTCTGTAATACGGTGACCAGAACTGAACTGCGAGTCCAGGTGTGGTCTCACAAGAGCAAGATACAGTTTTAGATGACCTCGTTAGTCTTGTAACTAACACTCCTTTTGTATGAACCCAAGTACTTTTATTAGCCTTGTTACGAGCAAAAACACATTGTTTACTTGGTTTAAGGTTCCTACTTATCATTACCCTAAATCTCTCTCGCAGTCGGATTTCTTATGGCATCGTTGTTCATCTGGTATCTGGTTTCCCTGTTTACATCTCCTATACTGAGTAATTTTACATTTGTCGACGCGGAATTCATCTGCCATTTTTCGGACCATTCGAAAATTTGTTTAGATCTTCCTGTAGTTTTGCTTCAGCCCTCGCCAGATTTAATAACACGTCCTATTTTAGTGTCATCAGCAAATTTACTTATGTTGCTGTCTATGCCGATATCTATGTCGTTTATGTATATAATAAATAATAATGGTCCAAGACTGATTGCAGCCAATGCTCACTTGCTGTTTCCTGTCCTGTAACCACGCTCTAATCCATTTAAGGATGTCACCTTTGGATGCCATGTGCTTCTACCTTCTAATTAGTCTTTCGTGTGTCGAAGGCTTTTGCTAAAGTCGAGATATACCACATCATAATTTGCCCTCATCCACCGATTCGAAAACTGATGAAAAGAATGTTAATAGATTAGTTAGCAAGAACGTCCGCTTGTGAAGCGCTGTGTGTGTGAGTGTGTGTGTGTGTGTGTGTCAGTCTCACCCTTCCTCTACCTCAGCTAAAACAAACCACTAACCAAATCCAACCCAACCTAACCTAAACCAACCTGACGAGGACTCCAGAAAACTACAGGACGATCTAAACAAATTTTTCGAATGGTCTGAAAATGACAGATGAAATTCAACGTGACAAAAGTAAAGTACTCAGTATAGGAGACGTAACAGGGAAACCAGATACCAGATGAACAACGATGCCATAGAGAACTGACTGTGGTGAGATTTAGAGTAATGATAAGTAGGAACCTAAGCCAAGTAAACAATGTGTTTTGCCGTAACAAGGCTAATAAAGTACTTGGGTTCATACAAAGGAGTATTAGTTACAAGACTAGCGAGGTCATCCTAAAACTGTATCTTTGCTCTTGTGAGACCACACCTGATTTACGCAGTTCAGTTCTGGTCACCGTATATACAGAATGGATATAGAATCCTTGAAAGAATTCAGAGGAGAATGACAAGACTAATCCCGGGCATTAGGAACCTTGAGTATAGAGACAGGTTAAAGCATCTTAATTTGCACTCCTCTAGAGACGAGAGCGAAGGCGACCTGATAGAGGTGTTATATGGAAGTCAGGGCTAAACAAAGGGACATTACAAAGGTACTCAAACTATCCAACCAGGAGTGAACTGTAACAATGGTTTTAAATTAGACAAATTTAGATTTAGGCGTGAAATAGGTAAACACTGGTTTGGAAACAGAGTAGTGGATGAATGGAACAAGTTACCAAATATCATCATTAACTCGAATACGCTTAAATAGCTTCAAACATAGGTTAGATGATTATATGAGCAAAAGGAGTTGGGTGTAAACGGACTGCCCAGTATGGGCCAATAGGCCCGCTGCAGTTTCCTCCATCTTATGTTCCCAAACCTAACCTAACCATCGTCATATAAACCCTGAACTTCAAAATCTCCTAAGAGTTCCCACCACTAACTACAAAATCAACTAACAACTACGATATAAGCCACAACAGAAAAACGAACTAAATACAGAAGTTTAACCCAGTGCAAGAGAATCCGTAATCACATATTAAATATTTTAAATGGAAACTTGAGATTGAAACCTATCATGACAATACTCAACAATGTTAACTCTTCCTCCTCGCTGGATGACAGTCACCCTACACCATATGGGTTGGTTAAGTTACATCAAGAGCCCAGTATACCTGTAACCTTTGTACAACTGACATTGCTGTAGGTGACGAGGATAGTGTGGTTTTAAAGAGCGCGCGCGCACGCACGCACGCACGCACACACACAACACAACACAACACACAACCACACACACACACTTCCTCCACCACTCACTGTCTTGTCAGCTTTCTCGACTACATATACCGCCATCTGGAGAAACGAAAACGTCTGTAGCTGTCGCCTCTATTGACTTCACACTAAGGCATTTGACCTAGTCGACCACAATTTAATCATCAACAACGCTATTGACCTCGGGTTTCGAAGAAGTCTTATACCATGACTTACAGACTTTCAGTAACCGACGCCAAGCTGTACGCCCTAGGGGCTGTCTCCCAAGGCACCAAGGCACCAAGACGGGACCATTATGCTTCCTTATGCTTATCAATGATGCCCTAAGAGAAACCCCTGCTCGCTGGAAATATGTCGACGACTCCCCATTGGGATCAGCGTCAACAATTCTGCCCTGACTATACTGCCCTTCAGGATTTATTGACAGTCTCAAAACTGGGCCACCAACAACCACGTCACCATCAACCATACCAAGACCATGGTTATGCATATCAACCTCTCCTCCGACGTTGTCCCACCCCCTTCCATTACTTTTAGGTCCCAACACACTCCAGGTTGTAGATTCCACTTAGTCTCGCGTCACCATAGACAACAAACTAAATTGAAACCACACGTCAGTGGTCAAATCCTTCAGTTTCTGTCTCCACCCTCCGCCGACTCAAGTCCTCCGGAGTTCCTGCACCCGAGTTCCTCAGTGTTTACTCAACATTTATACTTTCCTTCCAGCTCACCTATGCCTCCCCTACCTGGTCTTCCTTCCTAAATGCCACACAACGTAAACACCTAGAAAAGTGCAAAAGAGGGCATGCAAGATTACTTTCCCCTTCCTACTCCACATATCAAGAAGCCAACACGCTGACCCTTTCGACTCTCACTGACCATCACCACGACCTCATCTGCAAATCTGGTGAGAAGCTTCTGCACCATCGACAACGGCCCTACTACCACCTGAGATCCCTCGCCCGAGAATTGCTGTTCGACACCACAACCGCATCCAACCCATACGAGTAGGAATGATCGCTATAAGAACAGCCCAGTCCCAACCATTATAAAATTAAAAATAACTTGTAATCAACCAGTGTGTTCACTCCCAGTCAATCTTACCTTTTTGCACTGTCACTATGTTGAAATGCCCTGTAGTTTGAGCTCCCCACCTAGTTATAATATATCATATTTGTATCACTAATGTTACTTGTATATTATTTGTATATCAAGAGACCCATTCCACAATTGTGTAACTGTATATTTTCAGCCTTCTGGCTGCCATGCTCTTTCAATAAACCGTTTATTATTATTATATATTTATTATATTATTATTATTATTATATATTATTATATACACACACACACAGTTGATGGTTGACGGGACACGTGATATAGTCAGGTACAGTACATGTATATGAACACTGTATCGGCGGTGACCTGAGCCTGTGGGAGGGGGGTGGAAAGCCCGCAACCCACACGCGGCTCAGTGCCAAGTCAGAGCACGTGTGGAACTCTGGTGGCACTGGAGGTGAGAGTAAAGGTGATGAACCTGACTACAGTTTCTACCACCAGCAACCGACCGTTTTGTATTCCATGATATTAATAATAGGTTATATTAACAACAACAACAAATAACAACAACAACAACAACAATAATAATAAATAATAATAGTATTAATAATAATAATAATAATAATAATAATAATAATAATAATAATAATAGTATTATTAATAATAATAATAATAATAATAATAATAATAATAATAATAATAATAATAATAATAATAATAATGATGTAAGAAAAATAATGATAATAACAACGACTACAACTACAACATTAATAATAATTATAATAATAATAGTAATAATAATAACAAAATAGCAACAACAACAACAACAACAACAATAATAATAATAATAAATAATAATAATAATAATAATAATAATAATAATAATAATAATAATAATAATAATAATAATAGTATTAATAATAATAATAATAATAAAATATATATAATAATAATAATAGTATTAATAAATAATACAATAATAATAATAAAATAATAACACACGTATTATAACTATTAGAGATAAGAAAAGCATTACAGTAACTGGTAAATAATGGTGTGTGTGTGTGTGTGTGTGTGTGTGTGTGTGTGTGTGTGTGTGTGTGTGTGTGTGTTTGGTTGGTGGCTACAATAATAGGATAAAGCTGATGGGACCCTGTGTGCACCTAGACACCCCCAGGCCGGCCACTAAAACTGAGGATTTGCTTCTGTGTATGTCAGGGTTCAGGTGTTAGGTTAAGGGTGAGTTGGGTTAAGGGAGAACTAGCTTAAGAGGAGGCCAGTAGGTTAGATTAAGCTAGCCTTGAGTTTGATTGAGTTAAGACTTGGTTTGGTTTGGGTTGGGTTAAATTACGCTTGGGTTAGGTTAAGTTAGGGTCACAGTTTAAATGGTCTCAATCTTAATAGGCCCCCAATTATTAAAGGTACGTAAGACTGGGGCATGCTTGGACTGGGGCATGGTTGGACTGGGGTGCTTGACTGGGGCATGCTTGACTGGGGCATACTTGACTGGGGCATGGTTGGACTGGGGCATGCTTGGACTGCGGCATGGTTGGACTGGGGCATGGTTGGACTGGGGCATGGTTGGACTGGGGCATGGTTGGACTGGGGCATGCTTGACTGGGGCCCGCTTGGACTGGGGCATGGTTGGACTGGGGCATACTTGGACTGGGGCATGGTTGACTGGGGCATGCTTGGACTGCGGCATGGTTGGACTGGGGCATACTTGGACTGGGGCATGGTTGGACTGGGGCATGCTTGGACTGGGGCATGCTTGACTGGGGCATGCTTGGACTGGGGCATGCTTGGACTGGGGCATGCTTGGACTGGGGCCCGCTTGGACTGGGGCATGGTTGGACTGGGGCCCGCTTGGACTGGGGCATGCTTGGACTGGGGCATGGTTGGACTGCGGCATGGTTGACTGGGGCATGGTTGGATTGGGGCATGCTTGGACTGGGGCATGGTTGGACTGGGGCCCGCTTGGACTGGGGCATGGTTGGACTGGGGCATGCTTGGACTGGGGCATGCTTGACTGGGGCATGGTTGGACTGCGGCATGGTTGGACTGGGGCATGGTTGACTGGGGCATGGTTGGACTGGGGCATGCTTGGGCTGGGGCATGGTTGGACTGGGGCCCGCTTGACTGGGGCCGGGAAAGTGTCTCAGATTTAGTCCACACTTCCGGGCTGACAGTAAAACACGACGTGATTTTAACCTTACGCTCTGACATACTGCCTGAAGACCGACTCTCACCTGCCGGGAGCGATCATTACACTATCAAGCCGTTTTACCTGAAGGATCTCCAACCCGACTTATTTCACCGAAGATTAACCACCATAACCTAACCTGAACTGATTTAACCTATCCTAACCTGACCTGACCTGACCTGACCTAACCCAACCTAACCTAACCTGAACTGATCTAACCTATCCTAACCTGACCTAAACTAACCTAACCCAACCTGACCTAGCCAATCCTTTAGGTGAAATAAGGTAGGGTGGAGATTGTTCAGGTGATCTGTATAGACCTGTGACTACTGTATGTATGTGTATCGTGTGTGTGTGTGTGTGTGTGTGTGTGTGTGTGTGTGTGTGTGTGTGTGTGTGTGTGTGTGTGTGTGTGTGTGTGTGTGTTCAAGAAATGCCAGGTACAGTCACTGGGTACATGCCAGGTACAGTCACCGGGTACGAGGCAGGTACAGTGTAATTACATTTTTATTTCACCTAGGTAAACCACCCTATACCTTATTTCACCTGAAGATAAACCACCCTATACCTTATTTCACCAGAAGATAAACCACCCTATACCTTATTTCACCTGAAGATAAACCACCATTTATAACTTATTTCACCAGTAGATAAACCACCCTATACCTTATTTCACCTGAAGATAAACCAACCTATACCTTATTTCACCTGAAGATAAACCACCCTATACCTTATTTCACCTGAAGATAAACCACCCTATACCTTATTTCACCAAAAGATAAACCACCCTATACCTTATTTCACCAGAAGATAAACCACCCTATACCTTATTTCACCTGAAGATAAACCAAAACCTATACCTTATTTCACCTGAAGCTAAACCACCCTATACCTTATTTCACCTGAAGATAAAACCACCCTAATTCGAACCTAACCTAAGCTTCAAGTAATGCTATATTCATTTAAGAACATTATTACACATTTCACGTCATTAAATACATAACATTGATCCCGTTAAAGCAAAATGCCTTTATACTGTACACGGACCAACGAACACTCGATCAGTACAGCGGTTCATTAAGTACATGCAACTCTAACACTTGTGATGTAATCGTTAATTTTACCTTGTCAAGCCAAGTGTCAAGGTACATTCGACTTTATCCATCTCTCTCAACCAGCGTTGGGTCTACCTTGAGTCTACCTGGAGTATACCTCGAGTCTACCTGGAGTATACCTCGAGTCTACCTGGAGTATACCTCGAGTCTACCTGGAGTATACCTTGAGTCTACCTGGAGTATACCTTGAGTCTACCTGGAGTATACCTCGAGTCTACCTGAGTATACCCGAGTCTACCTGAGTATACCTTAAGTCTACCTGGAGTATACCTTGAGTCTACCTGGAGTATACCTCGAGTCTACCTGGAGTATACCTCGAGTCTACCTGGAGTATACCTCGAGTCTACCTGGCGTTGTCATCGAGTCCTTGGCCACTGCTCGTACACTCACCTGTAGAAAGAAAATCACATCACCACACGAGTAATGACACAACAATAACAACACTTACAAACACCTCAGGTAAGGGCTGAGGTAATTAGGGAGGAGAAGATTAAACACATTACTGACTCATATAGAAACACTAAAGGATCTTCTACTTGTCTGTATTCACCTTATCTTCTTCTACTTCCTCTTCCTCTTTTTCCTCACACTCCTTCTTATTCCAGTGGCACCTCCATCCCTCCCTCCTCCTCCTCCTCCTCTTCTTCTTCCATGTTCATTCCCTCCTCCCCTATCCTTATTCCAGTATTATCCTCCCTCATCTCCCTTTCTTCATCCCACCTCCTCTTCTCCTCCTCCCTATCCTTATTCCAGGAGCATCCTCCCCTCTTCTCCCCTCTTCCATCCCTCCTCCTCCTCTTCTCCTTATCCTTATTCCAGTGGTATCCTACCTCACCTCCCCTCTTCTCCTTCTCCCTCTTCCTTCCTTCCTTCCCTCCTCTTCTCCTCCACCCCCAGGTATGGTCCCCAGGGTCAGGCTGGGTCACACGGATGCTCCTAAACGTACAGGACTGACCATTACGCATTATACTGCTCCTTAGTGCACCCTTACCCCGGGCTGCTGCTCCTCCCTAATCCACTTTTATAACTTGTAATTTCCAACACTTAAAACTTTTACTCCCGTGACTAATCGAATGAGTGTGTGTTATGTTTTATGATATGTTGCTATATGTTATGTTATGTTATGTTATGTTATGTTATGTTATGTTATGTTATGTTGCTATATGTTATGTTATGTTATGTTGCTATATGTTATGTTATGTTATGTTGCTATATGTTATGTTATGTTGCTATATGTTATGTTGTTTTATGATATGTTATGTTATGTTGCTATATGTTATGTTATGTTATGTTGCTATATGTTATGTTATGTTATGTTTTATGTTATGTTATGTTGCTATATGTTATGTTATGTTATGTTTATGTTATGTTATGTTGCTATATATGTTATGTTATGTTATGTTATGTTGCTATATTGTTATGTTATGTTGCTATATGTTATGTTGTTTTATGATATGTTATGTTATGTTGTTTTATGATATGTTATGTTATGTTGCTATATGTTATGTTATGTTATGTTGCTATATGTTATGTTATGTTATGTTATATGTTATGTTATGTTATGTTGCTATATGTTATGTTATGTTATATGTTATGTTATGTTTTATGTTAGGTTATGTTATGTTATGTTGCTATATGTTATGTTATGTTATGTTGCTATATGTTATGTTATGTTATGTTTTATGTTATGTTATGTTATGTTGCTATATGTTATGTTATGTTTTATGTTATGTTATGTTATGTTGCTATATGTTATGCTATGTTTTATGTTATGTTATGTTTTTATGTTAGGTTATGTTATGTTATGTTGCTATGTTATGTTATGTTATGTTATGTTGCTATATGTTATGTTATGTTATGTTGCTATGTTATGTTATTGTTATGTTATGTTGCTATACGTTATGCTATATGTTTTATGTTATGTTATGTTGCTATATGTTATGTTATGTTTTATGTTATGTTATGTTATGTTGCTATGTTATGTTATGTTATGTTATGTTATATATGTTATGTTATGTTTTATGTTATGTTATGTTGCTATATGTTATGTTATGTTTATGTTATGTTATGTTGCTATATGTTATGTTATGTTATGTTATGTTGCTATATGTTATGCTATGTTTTTATGTTATGTTATGTTGCTATATGTTATGTTATGTTATGTTATGTTATGTTATTATATGTTATGCTATGTTTTATGTTATGTTATGTTGCTATATGTTATGTTATGTTATGTTATGTTATGTTGCTATATGTTATGCTATGTTTTATGTTATGTTATGTTGCTAAATGTTATGTTATATGTTATGTTATGTTATGTTGCTATATGTTATGCTATGTTTTATGTTATGTTATGTTGCTATATGTTATGTTATGTTATGTTATGTTATGTTGCTATATGTTATGCTATGTTTTAATGTTATGTTATGTTATGTTGCTATGTTATGTTATGTTGTATGTTATGTTATGTTATGTTGCTATATGTTATGTTATGTTTTATGTTATGTTATGTTGGTTATATGTTATGTTATGTTGTATGTTATGTTATGTTATGTTGCTATATGTTATGTTATGTTTTATGTTATGTTATAGTTGCTATATATGTTATGTTATGTTGCTATGTTATGTTATGTTATGTTGCTATATGTTATGTTATGTTTTATGTTATGTTATGTTGCTATATGTTATGTTATGTTGCTATGTTATGTTATGTTATGTTATGTTGCTATATGTTATGTTATGTTTTATGTTATGTTATGTTGCTATATGTTATGTTATGTTGTATGTTATGTTATGTTATGTTGCTATATGTTATGCTATGTTTTATGTTATGTTATGTTGCTATGTTATGTTATGTTATGTTGCTATATGTTATGTTATGTTTTATGTTATGTTATGTTGCTATATGTTATGTTATGTTGCTATGTTATGTTATGTTATGTTATGTTGCTATATGTTATGTTATGTTTATGTTATGTTATGTTGCTATATGTTATGTTATGTTTTGTTATGTTATGTTATGTTGCTATGTTATTGTTATATGTTATGTTATGTTGCTATATGTTATGTTATGTTTTATGTTATGTTATGTTGCTATGTTATGTTATGTTATGTTGCTATATGTTATGTTATGTTTTATGTTATGTTATGTTGCTATATGTTATGCTATGTTTTATGTTATGTTATGTTGCTATATGTTATGTTATGTTATGTTATGTTATGTTGCTATATGTTATGCTATGTTTTATGTTATGTTATGTTGCTATATGTTATGTTATGTTATGTTATGTTATGTTGCTATATGTTATGCTATGTTTTATGTTATGTTATGTTGCTATATGTTATGTTATGTTATGTTATGTTATGTTATGTTGCTATATGTTATGTTATGTTGTATGTTATGTTATGTTATGTTGCTATATGTTATGTTATGTTTTATGTTATGTTATGTTGCTATATGTTATGTTATGTTGTATGTTATGTTATGTTATGTTGCTATATGTTATGCTATGTTTTATGTTATGTTATGTTGTATATGTTATGTTATGTTATGTTGCTATATGTTTGTATGTTTTGTTATGTTTGTATATGTTTGTTTTTAGTATGTTATGTTATGTTATTTTATGTTGCTATGTTATGTTATGTTATGTTGCTATGTTATGTATGTTGTTATGTTATGTTGCTATATGTTATGTTATGTTATGTTATGTTATGTTATGTTGCTATGTTATGTTATGTTATGTTGCTATGTTATGTTATGTTATGTTGCTATATGTTATGTTA